GACACCAAACAACCATCTTGTAAGAAGGTAAAATCACACTAAAAAACCATTGTCAAACAACTTAAGGATCAAGATAAAAAGACCGAAACATCAAATAGTAATTAACACCACAACATTATCTATAAATGTGTTGCTTGAGTGAAAATCATAAAACTAATATAGAAAGTCCAAGCTAGTAAGCACAGAATTTTCAGTGATCACAATGCATAATACTTCATCCCTACACTACAACAGAAAATTTATTGCCCCTGAAAACTAAATGAAATCCCGTTGACACTTTTCGGCAATCATGCAAAACTTGCATATAAAGACACAGAAATTCATTTTAAAAAATCATACTAACATATCCTACACAACATCAAGTTATCAGAAGCATGCATCCAAAAAGGTTAACAAAATGCAAACTTATATAAATATCAAATTAAGAGACAAAGATATGTACAAAGAAGCAGTTTTTATATAACAAAGACCCAAGTAACGAACTTACTTCCCCTCTTGTGGTACAAGGCCCAATGCAAAGTTTGCAACCATATGCGCTCTCAAGAGACTGCAGAACTAGCAATCTAAATAAGCCAATTATCCATAAAAAAAAAAAAAAAACAAACAAACAAAAGAACCAAAGAAATACAGTAAAAAAATAAAAAAGAAAAAAAATTCCCATTTTACCTGACCAAGAATGTGGGCACTAGAGTGCCAAAAAGTATCACGACCTTCATCGCTATCAAAAGTGAAAATCTTAAGCTCACAGTCACCTTCCAAAGGCCTATTCATATCCCACAAAACCCCATTGACCGAAGAAATTAAGGCATTGGCAGCCACACTCTTGGAAATTCCTTGGGCAATATCCATAGGGGACGAAACCCATTTTTTCCCTTCCTTAACTGACCCATCAGGCAACGTAATCTTGATTGGGTCGTGCGAGAGGGACTGAAGATGAGATTGCTGTTGAGACTGGATGGATTGGAAGATTTTGATGCGCTTCTCAATGACTTTGTTTAGATATGCTTCGTCTTTGGAATGAGAAGAAGCCATGGTCAAGGCGGAGAAGAGGCGGAGAGGGGAGGACGAGCTTTTAGATAGGAAGAAGAAAACTGGCTGAAAAAAAGTGCAACGGCGGAGAGTAGGAGAGAGAGCGCATAGCATAGAACTCAAGTTAATATTTGTTCGCATTTCTACAGGTACTGAGGCTTAGGGTTTTATAGTGAATAAATTACAATTAGATATCTTTTTCTTTGTAAAGTAAAAATAAAATTGGTTAAAAAAATTTAAAAAAAACAGCATTTGATTTATGTGGCGTGGGTACAAAGCAACACTGAACCAAGTTCATTGACTTATTGTGCAGCTTGTATCTGCTGGGTGGTGAGCAAGTAAACCCCTTCAATCACTCGTCCAATTTTTGTTTATGAAAATGTAACGACGTCCATTTGGATCCCAATTGGGTGTGGTGTGGTGTGGTGTGGTGCGGTTGGCACCTTCAGGGTGCATTCGGATTCAAAAGCACATGCGTTTGTTAAGAAAATTTGTGCCAATCGGCACTAGTGCAGTATTTGGAAAACATGGTTGCAGTACAATGGATATATTTTCACTGCACCGCGGCAATGGTTGGTGACTGGACTTTAGAGGTCCAGTGTAAAAATGCCTCTACTCTACGTGGTTTTCTTTCCATTTTATCCCTTTTCATTTTTTATCATTTTTGTTTAAAATTTTTTAATTATTTATTTAATTATTTAAAATAATAAATAAATTTTATTTATTCATATATAAATAAATACATCAATAAATAAATAATTTAATAATTATCATTAAATATATATTTATTTTTAACATAAAATATATGTAAATATTTTTGAATGAATAAAAAAATTTATTATAAAAAATTTTAATTTAATATTTTTAATGATATTTTTTTATTATAATATTTCATTGTATCATCACCATTGTTTTGTTATCCAAACATTATCTCATCATTAATTTTATTATCACAATTATAATAATTAATTTTTAATTTTTTTCAAAATTAATTTCATCCTCCATTCAAGTGAGACATCACGCTAAAATCTCATTTGAATTACTAGATTGTGATGCAATGAAACTGTTTTCATCCTGCTGTTACCTTAATTTCTCATCGGAGCTTTAAAGTCCAATGAGAATTTTGAATCTTCGACCGCAGCCTCTATTCCCATCATATCCATGCTTTCCTTTTCTTTTTTTTTTTCCATAGAAATGCTGTAAAGATGAAAGTGCTCACATCACCACATTTTTTTATTTTTATTAAACATTTTTTAAATAAATTATTTAATTTAATATAATAAAGAATTTTTATAATATAGTAAAGAATTTTTTATAATTATAAGATAAACTAATTAATAAAAAACTAGAAATTCAATAAATATGTAAAATAAATAAATAATAATTGAATAAATAATTTTAATAATTTTTAATTATTATTAACTTCAAAAATATTAAATAATTTAAAATTCTATTTTATGAAAACTTTGGTCTAATATCTTTAATAGTTATTTTTTTCACTATTTTTTATCTTATAATCACTATTACGTTTGTATCTAAATATATTTTTATATTAATTTTAATCTTATTATTATAATAATTAATTTTATTGTTAATTTTATCACAATTAATTTTATAATCTATCAAAATAAATCTTAAGGTTGATTACTAAAAGTCGAAGCCCACAATTGTTAAATGATATTTTATAAAAGTGATATATGATTAAGATTTTTAATAAAAATTTAAATATATAAATTTAATAAAAATAAATATATATTTTAATTTATTAAATCAACATAAATTATATTATAATCATTTTTATATTTTATATGTATTTAATATAATAAAAATATAATATAAATATTCAAATGATAAAAAAAATAGCTATCTTATAAAAGTGTGTGGGCCATGCATTTTTGTTTATGAAAATCTAATGAGCGAAGCCGATTGAGCTTGTTTGACTTAGCTGACAAAAAAACAAGAATATGGTGGACTGCTTGCTTTGAATATAAACTTTTATTTTATTTTATTTATGTATAGGAATTTGGAGCCTGTTCTCTGGTAATTTGAGTTTTAGAAATGGAAATTTTGGGCTTTTTTGGACCAAGGAATAGGCCCGCAGATACATTTCTCCACTTAATTCTGGATCGAATCTATTTATATTTTGGGCTACAAGCTCGCTTTTAGTCCAGTATAGAGATAGCAACGGGTTAAAACGAAGTTGTTTTTACTAGTTTCGAATTTGATTTAATTTTATATCAATAAAATCAGACCTGACCTGATTTTAAGATTTTTTTATTTTTTTATAGTTAAATCCGATTCAATCTGATATTGTATAAATTATATTTGATCTAATCCAATCCAAAATTAATAAAATATTATTTTTTTAAAAGATAAAATATTATTTTTAATATAAATATAAATATAAAATTATATAAATATAAATAAAAAATTAATTAATTAATTAAAAAATAATTATATATATATATATGATCGAGTCGGATTAGGTTTGCTTAAAACTTGATCTTGATTAGATTCTGATCTTTTTTACAATTATTTGATCGACCCAATTCGACTTGAAATTCGATTTAAAAAAAATAATTTTATGAGATTATATCAAGTTAAAACCTATTGAGAATGGATTGGTTTTCAATCCTAATCCAGTCTTCCAACTCCTGCTTCTTTTTTCCTTAACTTATATTAGAATAAGCCTCAAAATTATCTTTTTAGATATCATTAGAATAATGCCACCTTTTTTTTTTTCAGACATGTATTTTGTATTATATACTCGTCTTCATCAAATCAATTCTCAATAACTCATTTAATTTACTTAAATTTAATTAAAAATGACTAATTAACTGTAAAAAAAAAAATTAAAAATCAAATAAAATATGAATTGATTTCATTTTCATTGTTATTTTAAATATCAGCAAAATCAATTTCATCGTTATAACCGGATTAGTAGCCCATCTTACGTGAAGGCCTTGGCCCAACCTCATTTTCTGTGTGCAAAGTGCAAACTACAAAACCTACTGGACGGCTAGGCTAGACAGGCCAGCGGCCTCCAACAGACACAAATTAACTGCCTAAAGTTTGTAGGGTCCTTTTCTGTACAAAGAGAAGTACCAAAAATTGAGCCAGAAAACCACAATTCACAGGACAATATGGCAAGCCAAGCAATGTGTGCATGCCGGGTCTAGATTTTTTCTCAAAGATGCCCTGCCCTGACATAAATAAACTACTCCTATGTAAAACTTCAAAACCCCATATCACACAAAATTGCCCTTTGATATTCTTTTTGGTCTCCAAGCCTTCGGCCTTTGGAAGCTACCTGCCGCACCCTCCCTCCGTCCTTACGAAGATGTAAACGATATATTAATATTTATAAATTATTTAAATTTAATTTAATTATTATTTAATTAAATTTAAATAATTTAATATATTAATTAAATTAAATTTAAATATTTTTATATCTGATTTAAATTATTATATTTTAATATATTTTAATTGATAAAATATTTTAAATTTTAATTCGAATACAAATAATTAAATTTTATCAAATATAAAAATCAAAATTATTTTTTCATATTAATTGAAAGAATTTGAATAATTTGATTTTAATCTTAAATTAAATTTGAATAAAAAAAATAAAATTTAATCAAATTTAAATCAAATTTCAAATATCAAATTTAAAATTAAACTTAAATTTAATATTATATCAACAAGCAAAGCTTTCCTTTCTTAAGTAAAATAAAAAGAATTGGAAACTACCAAAAGGAGTAAATAGGGTTTACTGCAACAAACTCCGGATCAACTTACTAAATACGGGGTTTCTATAATGGCAGATTTTTCCAGTTTCGGAGGTAGGTAAAAATAAAATAAAACCTTGACTCATTTAAAGCGTTAGAAGAGTGTTTGCCTTGTGTTCTTGTTACGCCAATTACAAGTTAACTTTCTTTTTTTCTATTACCAAGTCTTCTACCTAAGTAATCATCTTACTTGTAGCTCTTAGTCAAGGTTAGATTTTTGCCGCGCACGTTATTGGCTGAACTGAGCTGCGTTTGTTGTGAGTGCAAGAAATAATTTGCACATTGCTTGTTGGGTTTGATCTAAAAGGAAGCAAGAGAACATGATTTCCTGAGATTTCCATATGGGTAACTACATTTAGTTTGATCCAAGAAGGTTAAAGGAACATGTGTTTCTAGCATGCCATTTTCTAACATGTCTTGGATACAATCTCAAATCAAGCTAGAAGATAGTCATTTGAGTTACCCTCCTCGCTCTCTACTTTCTTCTTATTCTTCATCTTCTTCCTCCTCTCCTTCATTGCCATACAACAGTGATTACCAAAAGCAACCAAACCCTCCATCATCATCATCTTCGGCTAGTAAAATAAGCCCAGCTGTTTTGTTCATAATAGTTATTCTCGCTGTTATATTTTTCATATCTGGCCTTCTTCACTCGCTAGTTAGATTTCTCATGAAGAATAGGTCTCCCTCATCAGTATCCGAATCCAACAGATACCACGAAATGTCAGGGTCTGATGCTTTCCAAAGACAGTTGCAACAACTCTTCCATCTTCATGATTCAGGTTTAGATCAAGCATTTATAGATGCTCTACCTGTGTTTCTTTATAAGGAAATAATGGGGTTGAAAGAGCCATTTGATTGTGCTGTTTGTCTTTGTGAATTCCTGGAACAAGACAAATTGAGATTACTTCCTATGTGTAGTCATGCTTTTCATATAGACTGTATAGACACATGGTTGATGTCTAATTCTACTTGCCCTCTTTGTAGAGGGACCCTTTTCACACCTGGGCTTCCAATTGAAAACCCAGTTTTTGGCTTGGAATACGCAAGGGAAGAAAATATGTTATCAAGCAATGGAGGAAGCGGGGTGTCGTTTGGCATAAAACCAGCAGGGAATGACATTGGAAAGAGGGTGTTTTCTGTCAGACTAGGCAAATTAAGAAGTTCAAATGATGGAAGAGGAGAAGGAGAAGGTGTATTACGTGGAGAGGGAGAGACCAGTAGCAGTAATTTGGATGCGAGGAGATGTTACTCCATGGGGTCACACCAATATGTGGTTGCTGATTCAGACTTGCAAGTAGCTCTATGCCCCAGTAGAGGAGGCACTGGTAGTGCTAGTATGAAGCTTGTGAAAGGAAGAGTTGGACAAAATGGGAATTCACCAAATGATGGGGATGTAGAGGGAAAGAAAATTAACATGAGAAGTAAAGGTGAAAGCTTTTCTGTTTCCAAGATCTGGCAATGGTCTAAGAAGGGTAAATTCCCAAGTTCTTCAGATACTATAGGGTCTTCCTCTGTTACCGTTGGTTTGCCATGGACCGATGGTAGAACTTGGGTTACTTGAAGGTATTTACTGTTCCTTTGTACTTCGTTATAATGTTATAATCATATATATTCAATGAATCTACTTATTAAAGCCTGTACTTTTAGCTTTTACTTGCCCTTTTCTTTCAAAAAAATTGATTCTTTAATAGTGCAATGCAACGTCTGTGATTTATGCTTCTTTAATGTTCTTACTTTTATGATTGTTCAAAATAAAGGCATGTTCTTACTTTTATGGAAAATGGCGATGTCCTTGGTATTTTAAGTAGTGCCTAACCTAAAAACCTTTGCTTTCATCCTGGGAACTGCACATGTTGTAATGGTGATAAATGATTTCTAGTTTTTACTCTTGGCTTTCTCTCCCTCTGCCAACAATTTACACCAAACAAGAATAAAATAGAAAAAGAAGGATAGTAAGCATTGTGAGGTCAATTCACGTGGTGCTAGGCTTTTCATTTTTTTTTCCTTGATAAATTCCTTCCTTTGATCTTCTAATAGGGAACCCTTTTTTTGCTTTGGATGATGAGGGTGGTAGGATCCCTAAATAGTGCTTTAATGACTCTTGTGTGTAGCCTTTATTTGAAATCTAATTAAAGTTCTGATCCCAAGCTTACTACATAATTAAATTTTATTGACTAAAATGTTCATTTAAAGCACCACATGGGAAGCTGGTCTCATGGTTGAAGCTTGGGGAAGTGTTTTATTCTGATACTTTTAGAAGGGAGGGAAAAAGCATGCTGTTCGAAAAGAAGTATACCACACCAAAGAACAGTTTTGCTGATGGTTACAGAAGACAAAACTGGTTGGGTCTGGTAATCGTTTTGTTTCCATACATATCATTAGATAGCCCTGCGAGATTGGCACAGGAGATGAAGAGCAGGAGTAGGAGTAAGATGACAGCCAGCGAGCCAAAAGTCAAACAAATTGATGCATGCACGAGCAATGCATGACTGGGAGGCAGGAGGAATTGAGTATTTGGTAAAGCTAAGAGATCACATCACAACAACAATAACTCCGTGACTGAGATAGGCACACAAGTCAAAACATTTCAAATCAGTCTTTTCCAAGCTCGCGGGTTACAGAGAGAAACAGACAGCCCGGATCATTGAGCTTTGCTGGAAGAATCCAAGGCTTGCTTTGTTGGGTATAAACAAAAAGAGATTTTTTTTTTAGGGAAAAATGAATTTAAAAATTAGTACAAGAATTGAAATCATTGTAGCACCACTTAACTATTTTAGTCTCGGAGTTTGCAGTTGGTGTTCTTAGGAGTAGAATAATGCACCTCTGGATAAGAGCGACCCCATGTGCAATTAAAAGGACAACATTTGCACTGGGATTTTAGAATTTAATTTGCTTTGAAATGCTCACTGCTTTCTTCTCCCAAATTAAAATTAAGAAGTCATTCTACCAATGCAATTTTAATTATAATCGAAGTACCATTTTATATTTGTAGTATTATTTGACATTGTGAAATTATCCCACTCCAGGAAATTCAATAAGTTAAAACTTATGTAATTGACAACAAAAATAAATAGAAGAAATTATTACATTCTTTTTCAGGATTAACAAGATAATATATGTTTTAGAACATAATAAAAATAAAAATAAAAAAAAGTAAGACACGAAATGATTTTTTAAGTGGAGTTAAACATTTAAAGTGTATGAAAAAAAGGCTCAATATATATATATATATATATATATATATTATAGCTCGAGAGCTACCATGTTATGAAAGTTTATTAGAAATGATCAAATTTTACTGGAAAAAGATGCAGGAACTACATCTCTAGCTTTCCTATATATGGGTTTTGGAGTTGATAAAGAAGCCCTAGGGATTGAAGGAAAAATAGTATATCAACAATTCAGACTTGACATATATGGTTATCATCTCTTCTTAACTTTTGACTTCATAATGGCAAAGAACCAGTAACTTGCAAGTGCAGAATCATAATTAAATACTACAAATTGGATTATAACAAATAAATCAGTGCTTAAAATGCATGACCAGCACATCTTGTATCCCAAATCATAACAAATTTCTCTTTTGTGCCCAAGGCAAAATTCAATTCCCACATTCCGTACAGAAAGGCTTTATAATAATATACAGAAAATTACCTACCTGGGGAAATTTTGTAAAAAATAGTGTGATCCCATTTGACAATCACAAACCTAAGCAAAATCTCATGCCATTCGTTACAGACTATATTACCCCGCCCCCCGACCCCCCGGGTTATAAGAATTGAAACAAAAGATTGCACTGTCACTACAAATGCTGAGAAGAAGTTTCTCAGAGATAAAAGGCAAAAAAAGGATAAGGAAAAAGATGGGGAAAAGGTGGTACATGAATGTCTTCAACATCTCTGTAGATCAATCAATCTCATAAATTGCTAGGGAAATTGTTGATTTGTCCTTCCTCCAAAACATCTTTGTTGTTCAACTTGTAAGCTATCCTTATGCGCATGACCAATCATTTCTAAAAGTAATGGTAACTAGGCCCCTGTAAAAGACCCAGTTAAAGAGGGTAGCTACAGTAAAATGATTAACCTAAAAGAATTAGCGTCGCAAACTACTTCAAGAATTCTTTCCAAATCAAGGTAGCAGGGACAAATTAATTGTCAAAGGTTACTGGTGAAATCAACAAGAAGACAATGGTTTTATTAGTTTCATCATTGATTTTTATTGAATATTAGCAACCATGTCAATATAAGGCATTTAAATCTTTTTTTTTTCTTTTTGTGCTTTCTTTCTTTCATTTTTTGAAGAAGTTCTAGGCTCTAGCACTAAACAGTGCTATTCTGCTACCAAAAAAGAAAAAACAAAATTAATTGGAAAGCTAGGTGGTTTGAGACTTAAGGGGGAACAATTTTCTTGCTTCAAGGTTCCTGACATCTCTGACTAAAAAAAAGGGTTCCTGACACAAAACAAAATCTTGGAATTTATAAACTAGTTTTTCCTAGGTTCTTGATTTCCTCTTCTTATGCACGAAAGTAAAACCTAAAATCTATGGAAATAAATTATGACCATCCAAGAGCATAAAGAGAAAAAAATGCACATACCTTTAAATTCTCGGTTATGGTGGACCTAAATGCAAGCATCATTTAACATGATACAGGATACATCTAAGACAAACACTTGTAAAGTTATATACTAATAAAGAAATGAAATAAAGAAAGCCCAAAGCATTGATAATAAAAGTAGTGCAAACAAATGCCTAGTCAAAGTAACACTAGATTCTACCAAGTGTTCAAACCTTTATCTTCAAGTCTTCTAAGATAATCTTTAACCATAGTAGTTCACAAATTCCTTGAGCCATTACTTTGAACTCTGCTTTCAGCACTTGATCTTACTACCACATTCTATTTTTTACTCCTCCAAATCACAAGATTACCGTCTAAAAAAGTGCAGTAGCTTGAAGTGGATCTTCTATCAGTTACAGAACTTACATAATCAGCATCTGTGTATGCTTTTAGAAATAGCCCCGAATTTCTTTTGAATAAGATACCTCTCCCAGGATTGACCTTCAAATAGTGAAATACTCGGTAGACAGCCTGTAGGTGCACTGCTTTAGGATTATGCATAAATTGACTTACCACACTCATAGCATATGCTATATTAGGTCTAGTATGTAAGAGATAAATGAGTCTTTCTATTAATCTTTGATACATCTCTCTATCTACAGCAACATCTTCATTAGCTTCTCCAATTTTATGATTAAGATCTATAGGGGTATTTGTAGGTTTACATGCAAGCTTCTCAGTTTCCTTCAGAAGATCCACTGTTGTGAGATGAAAATACCATGCCGTGAGTGAGCTATTTCAATTACTAGGAAATACTTCAATTTTCCTAGCTTTTTTATCTCAAATTCTCTAGCCAAACACTGTTTTAAAGATTCTCTCTCTTTTTCATCATCTCCAATTATAATTATATCATCAATATACATTAACAGAACTATGACTCTCCATAAATCAGACTGCTTGATAAACAATGTGTGATCTCCTTAACTCTGTTTATATCCCATTGCTAGTATCACTTTGACAAATCTCCCAAACCAAGCCCTAAAAGATTGTTCAAGGCCATATAAAGCCTTTTTTAGGTTGCATACTTTGTTTGCTTCTAAATGACCCCTAAATCCTGATGGAACTTTCATATATATTTTTTTTTCCAAATCACCATGTAGAAAAGCATTCTTTACATCAAATTATTGAAGCTGTCAATTGTAATTTGCAGCCAATGATAACAAAATCCTAACTATATTCATCTTGGTAACTGGAGCAAAAGTTTCCTGATAATCCACTCCATAGGTTTGAGTGTAGCCCTTAGCCACTAACCTAGCTTTATACCTTTCAACAATACCATCCACCTTATATTTTACAATGAAAACTCATTTACACTTCACTAGAATTTTTTTCTTTAGGCAACTCTACAAGTTCTCATGTCTTATTTTTCTCTAAAGCCTCTATTTCTATTTTCATGGCTTGCCTCTATTTCTCACTGGATAATGCCTCGAATAATGTAGTTGGAACAAAATTAGTGTTTAGGCTCACAAGAAAATTTTTGTGGGATGGTAAAAATTTTTCAAATGACACAAAATTAAAGATTGGGTATAGTGGATGCTTAGTACATTCTTTGGTTTCTTTTTTAATGGCAATAGTCAAATCAAAATCACTAGTTATAGTTGTAGGAGATTCATACTCATTTTGAGAAACAGAGTCAAAAACTGTAGTTACCTCATTTTCAGAGTTAGGATTAGGTTATTGGATTGACACTAGTTCAAGATCTAAAACTTTCCTTCTTGAGTACACCTGTAATTCCTTCATAGAATCAAGAATAATATTATCCTTTATCACATCTTCTATGTTTGGAATGGGTTCATACCCAAATTCAGTATTTGACTTAGGTTCAGCAGAAATGAGTTTCGACTAAGAAGGATTAATGGGTGAAAATGCTGAAGAAGAGGACAAATCAAGCCAAAAGAAATCTTTATCCTTATCTTCCAAGAATGAAGTCTCCCCCTGAAAATAAGGTTGAGTAAAAAATGGTTTATTTTCTTCAAAAGTGACATTTACAGACACATAAAATTTTTTGGTTGGAGGATGATAACACTTATACCCTTTGTGAGTTGACAAATACCCCACAAAGATACATTTAATTGCTCTTGGATCCAACTTTCCCTTATTATGACTGTGAATATAAGCAAATGATGTACAACCAAATATCCTAAGTGTGAGGTTGTTTGTGATATTGAGGTTGGGATAGAATTGTGAAAGTAGTTTCATAGGAGTTTTAAATCCCAAAACCCTTAAAGGTAACCTATTTATAATGTGTGAACAGCTTCCCCCTAGTAAGATTTGGGTACATTTGCTTGAAAAAGGAAGGCTCGGGTTATGGCTAGTAAATAGCTTTTTTTCCTCTTTGCCACTCCATTCTGCTATGAAGTATTAATACAAGATGACTCATAGATAATCCCCTCCTTTTGAAAATAGGTGGATAAACTCTGGTTGAAATAGTCTCTTGAATTATCAGACCTAAATCTCTTGATTCTCACTCCAAATTGATTTTGGATCATGTTTTGGAAGCTTAAAAACACACCATTCACATCCGATTTGGATTTAAGTAAAAAAAAATCCAAGAGACCCTAGTACAATCATCTATGAATGAAACAAATTATCTTGTATCAGAAATATTAGGAATTGTAGAGGGACTCCAAATGTCACTATGAATCAAGTAAAAGGGAGTAGAACTTCTTTTGTTACTAATTGAAAAAGATACACGTCTATACTTTACAAGTTCACAAACATCACAATAAAAATCTTCGACGTTTAGTCCTTTGAACAAAGAAGGAAACATGTTTATCAAAGTTCTCAAAAAAGGATGTCTAAGACGAAAATGATAAAGCTAGATTTTGTCTTTATCGGAAGATTTTTCAGAAAAAAATGACAAAAGTAAATTATTTTTTATATTACTTATGTTGTTTGATGTCTCAAGATAATATAGTCCATTCTTCTTCTTAGCAAGTCCAATCCTCTTTCCTGAACTCTGATCCTAAAATTCACAATAAGAGGGATAAAAAGTCACTTTGCAGTTCATATCTTTGGTAAGTTTTTGTATAGATATCATATTAGTAGACAATCCATGAACATGAATAACATTTTTAAAAACAAACGAGAGATTAATTTGAACATCTCCTAATCCTGCCACTGTAGTAAGTGAACCATCTACAACGATAATTTTTTTATTACTAGAACACAGGGTATATGTACTAAACTTCTGTGAGAAATGTGTCATATGGTTTGTGGCTCCTGAGTCAATGAGCCAAGAACTCGTAATAGGCTTAATCGAGACATTAATCCATGAGAATCAGAAGCTTTACCTGAACTAGAGACCTTACCCAAGGAATATACCACAATAGGCTTTTCAAGGGTTTTCAATAGGTTTCTTAGCTTTTCAATCTCTTCTCTATCCAACTCTCCTTGTTTCCGAAACACCTGTAGTACTCCAATGATTTTCTTAGTCGACATTTCCTCAAATTGGGTGATAGTGATATCTTTCTTTGAACTGAAACAAGT